ATCAATGGAAACCTCCCTTGAATATGGAATGGCCTTCAGAACAACTTGAAAGTTCCCAATTTTTTACTGAAGTTATTGTTCTTTTGTAGTTTGAGAAACTAGCCTGATGCTCACAATACTTCTCATCAAATTCTCAAGCCTCAATAAACTTTATAGGAATTCCTAGGTTCCTAAATTTTTCTAACGATCGTGGATCTTCTCTAAAGGTTTAACAATTCGCTGAAGTTCTCTAAACTTCTTTAAAATTTATGTGACTTATCTAATGTTAATGGAAATGCTCTGAGGTTCTCTGTTCTTTTCTGAAATTTTCAAACCTTATCTAAAGTTTTTACAGTTCTCATGTACAGGGATGGAAAATCATTTACATTCATTTCGTGCATTCATTTACAATCATTTGCCTCTAACTTTTTTCATCAACAGAATTCCGTAAAATAGTGTTCAAAGCTTTTGTAGGCTTTGATATTAGCTACATCTTTTGAAAACAACTCAAATCTGTATCTCTTATGCATGATGAATCAGAGTGATAAGGACCCACCATTGTTTTTCAGTGAATGTAAATTGCATTCACTGAAAAACAATAACATGTTCTGCCAGCTCTATTTCGTTATGCATAAGAGATTCAGATTTTAGTTATTAACAATAGTTGTAGTTAATATTAAAAGCTACAAAAGCTTCATAAATCATCTTACGGTATTCTGTTGATGAAAAAAGTTATAGGCAAATTAATGTAAATGAATGCACTAAATGAATGCAAATGATTTTCCATCCCTGCTCATGCAGCTTGTTGTACTACGCTGAATTTGATTGAACGGTCTTAAAAATGTGTAAGCTTCAGTGAACTTAACTTTTTAACGTCTTTGAAGTTATCTGAAAATCGAGAAACTGCTTTAAATTTCCCACTTATTTTCTGAAACTAATGGAACTGACCTCCCCCTGAGATTCTTAAAATTTTTGGGTGCTCCCGAATTTTGCTAGAGTTCATAAAAAAGTTCGCGAATCTCCTATTAAGCTCCATAGATTTCTAAAAAAGGTTGGGGTAGGTTATCTTTATTAGCGATACTTTCAGTCAGTGGCTGGTTCATCTCTTCGCGATTTCTAAGAAGCTATCGAAATGTTTCTGAAAACCACTGTCCTTCTGTAAAGTTTTCGATGTTTTTCTAAATTTCTGGAACTTTTATGCTCCCGCAATGTTCATGGAATTAGAACGAAATAATTAATATAGTTCTATGATTTTCACTGAAGTTCTCAAGATTTTTCTGAAGTTCAGGAAATAGCTCTAATGTTGACCTATGGACCTATGAATTCTGTCTAGATGAACGCGTCATTGGGACGGTACTAATGGATATTTTTGGTCGCTATTGAAAATTTAGTCGATTGCTGAATTTATGTATGGGCCCAAATTAGCGCATTTAGGCTGACATTACATCCATTTCCCCTATCTAAATTTATAAGAAGTTCACTGGAATTTCTTGAAGATATCGCTGATTGTTAAAAGTTCTAACATTTTCTTTAATTAATGGAACTTTGTTAATGTTCTTTTATCAATTTAGCTAAATTCTCGCATTGGTTTTAATTTCTTGAAATCTCCATAATATAAGACCCTTAAAATACTCTCACGTTTTTGGGATGTTCATATAATTTTTATCACATTCCAGCTATTCTCTTGGAGCTTTGCTGAAGTGGCAGGAAATTCTTGAGTTTCTCGAAACTTCTATACGGTTTTTACAATTTTCTTGAAATTATTTGAACTGCCCTTTGATTCTCTGACCTTTCTTGATATTCTCGAAGCTCTCCTAAAGCTTTCCTGAAATTCTCTGGACTTTGTGAAATTCCTGAAATTTTTCTGAAGTTTTCATAAATTCTCTGAAGATCTCTGTACTTCCTGGAAATTCTCGGGACATCTTAAGGGTTCTCGATTTTTCAGCGTGGAACTATCCTAACTTTTTTTTTTTAATTTACGATTAAACATCTTCAAACTGCTCCAAAATTCTGGGCTAAAGTTACGTTAACTGCTCTTAAGTTCTGAAATTCCCCAAAGATCTCTAGATCTAGCTTTTCTGAGGTGCTTAGAACTTCTTAAAAATTTGCACAATACCTCTCAAGTTTTCTATATTTTTCAGGTTCGCTTGACACTTGTGAAGTTCTCTGCCATTCTAGGAACTTCATAAAAGTTTCTCAAAATTTTTGGAAGCTAAAAGAACAGTTTTGAGGTTCTCAAAGCTTCCAGTAAGTTCCCCATATTTTCAGTGTGTTTACTTCCCTTATGTTCCCGCAGCTTGTTTATGGAGCTTCACTGAAATTTTCAGCATTTCCTTTCATTCCTCAGAAGTTGTTGTGAAGTTGATGGTACTGCATTGAAGATCTCTAATCTTTCATAGGGTTAATTACGAACTTGAAATAAATCATTTATTTTTACCCATAATTCTAGCACTTTGAAAATTGTCAATATCTTGAACTTGTACATGAAATACGAAACTTCAAGACATTGAATATTTTTAGTTCTTGGACTTACTTACTTGGTAAACTCAGGTAATTTCATTTAGAAAAATAAATAGACATCCGATTAAACGTCACAAAGCAAAGAATAATCAATCTTGAAATAAATTCACGCTTAAAAAGTTGAAAATAGTGACTTATTACAAGAAAAAGTGACTTTAGTGACTTGACCTTTAAAAAGGAGACGTTTTAGTGACTGACTTCAAAAAAGTGACCAACTCACTAATAAGTGACTCGCTACCAGCCCTGCCAGATCTACCAGGCATTTAACCAACCATCACTGGAGATATCCCGTTTAGGCCGTATTGACTGCCGTATCGATAAGACCCTCTCGTTCAGCCATGGTGTGAAAGAAGGACTCGGTAGGCGTGAGGCGAATTGAAGCTGTTCTGAATGAGAGCCGTGAGGACTTTCGCTGTGAATCGGATGAGTTGATCTGAGTTTTGCTAGTTTTGAAGAGATCATGGTTCAGATAGCACTTACAGTATTTTTCTAACTGTTGAAAGGAACGACCCTTGAACTCGTTTGCCATTTTTAAATCCTTGGTTGAATCCATGTTACACCAGTTTCAAGTTTCAAGTATGCAATTTTTTTAAAGCGCTGACCAGACTGACAAGTTATAACATGTTATAACTATGTAGTCTGAACGAGGTAAACAAAGTAGTCAACCTTAGCAACGATTGACAAAATGTCAACACTCAACAGTGATGCCGTTTTGTATTACATTGTTTGCGTCCTACTTTTCAGTGTCGGCCCTAAAGTGCCGAAATGTGCCAATCAGTGACACAGTATGCCACAGTATGGCACAGTGTGCAGAGTTGATAACCTCTTGGTCCAACCCGTTTTGTGTGTGCTTTTTTGTAGCATTCTGAAGAAACCCTTCCTGAACATTAAAATAGAAAATTTTTTGAGACATAGCACTGATTTTCACTGCTGCCCAATGCTAAGGGAACTTTCATAAATAACGTAATAGTTGGGGGGGGGGGGAGAGGGATTTCAGAAGTTGTGACCGGCCATGTATTAGGTTTATTTTCCCCTACCTGATATAGTGGTGTTCGTATGCGTGGGGGAGCCATCAGTTACGCCAAACCGACGATAAAATGCGTTGTTTATAAAAACTGATATGTCCTTTAGAAAAAGTAATCGAGATTTGTAGCACGCGGGATCGTTATCACTCAGGCAAGGAGGTTGATCCACTTAGAAGCCAGCAGCCACAGTGATCTCGACAGGAACGATGCTCAATGTTCGAGGTGCAAACATCGTTACGTTTATTTTGCTGGTTTCAACATTTGGCTTAACATTGCAGTTGGTTAGCCTTTGGCGCTTCATCTTTGTTCTAGTTAGTTAGTTATTCTAATATGTGATTGCGTTTAGCGCCAATTTACAGGTTGTTTTCGTTTGAATTTAAAAATTATCACCCGGTAGTAGGTTATCACCAACTTGAGCACAGGAACCTACCTAACTACTTGAATTAGGTTGCAAAATCACGAATGATCTGGTGGTTTGATCGCAGACAGGTGACTCTGAACCTTTCCAGCGTGAACGTCTTTCGCTTTTATTTCATGAAAACAGTGATAAAATTATCGCTTTTTATTTGTACATTTTTCAACAGCTTTTTATTTAAAAAAAAATTGGAAAAACATTGATTGTAGCAGATTTTGAGAGTTATTTCCTATCGATTGTTGTATTTGGAATTTAATTTCATCTATAAATAACAAAGTTAAATGCGTTCAAAACCTTACCCCTTATCGTGACGGTCGCAAATTTAAATTTTAGATCAACCCCAGTTCCTTCCCGTAAGACGTAGTCTGCGTCAAAAAAATCGACCAACTTTCTCCAAAAATAAAGTTATTTCCAATATATGATATCTTCAGTTGTGAGAAGAACGGGGATACACTTTTTGCAGCAATCTTAAAGTGATGTTACATTTCATGTTTTGTTGATGAACTGAAAGCGCAATAGTACGAAATACAAACATTTATATTTATGTCAATGTACATAATTTTTTTTATGAAAATCGGTATTACTTTTCATAAGCAGGCAAATTGGTTACTCCAGCAAATAAATGCTTAATTAAAAGTTTTGAAAGGGTCTAGAATACATCGTTTTCGACAAAATAATACAAAAAAGTTAACTTTATAAAACTTATATTTTAGGAATCACCCAAAGATACTTATTAAATATTGATATAAAACAAATATTATTAGATATAGAAATTTGGTTTCTTCGTTAAAGATGCTTCAAACTAACAGTTCTACTACTTTGTTAAACATTATGGCGGTTCCTTAGTGTAACATGCTGATCTAAAACTGCTACTGCTTTCATATAAGACGAGTTTTCAAATTTTTAGTTGTAGGGCAAATATGAATGTACAATTATGTTTTGAACAGAAGTCTAAAAAGGTTCAAAATGCACAATTTATGCTTAGGAAACTTCTAATCTATTGAATAGTTTAATTGTTACCACATGAAATATTTGATCCCCTCTCTCTTTCCCCCCAACAGATGCAGTAACCCGGTTCCTGTCCTCGAAATTCTTCATCCACACCAACAAATTGACGTACGGAATTTACCTTCTGAATCCGTTGATCATCACCGCGATATTCGGTCTGTCCGACGGCAGCGCCAGTGCCGATCCCACCCCAACGGTAAACAAATATTTAGAGGAACCATATTTTGAAGCAACCCTTCCGAATTGCGATCGAATTAACACCAATACGATAATTTCCCATTCGTTATATTTTCCCGTTATCTTCTCTTCCGCAGCTCGTGATGGCCCTCGGTGTGACGGTGCTTTCCTACGTGGCGGCCATCGCATTCACCGTTCTGTTCGAAATTCCCTACTGCACAATTTCGAGTGAAATTTTGAAACTGAAAAAGAAGCCCTCACCGTTGGCAACCAGCACCACAGCAGGGCCTACTTTGACGACGGATTCCGATGACAACAAGAAAGCGGATTGAACAAACAAAGCACGGTGGCATTTGACGTTGTTGGGAATTTGAAGCACATGGAACGCAGAATAGCACACTTTCGGGATTTCCGGATCGACGGAAATTCGGTTTTCCACCGGTTAATGTGATAAATGATGAACGGTTGAAGGAATGAATAAAAAAATCCCTCGTTTTTAGCAAGCTTACCACCAACGGTTTTCTAATGATCTGATGATGGGGGGAAAAAAATATTAAAAATGATAGGATTTTTTAAGCATTTCGCAAAGATTTTAATCTGTAATTGATTTTAAGGACTGCTTAGCATTATTTATTGTACCGTTAATTTGGTAAGGTATAAAATAATTTACTATTTAATAAGAAGCTCAAAAAATGAAGGTGTTAATGTTCCTGGGATACAAAGAAGAAAAATTAAGCAAAATAAGAAAACAACATCCAAATTGTAACATAGGGAACTTCTTAGATAGTGTTAAAGTGAGTTTGCACTTCTGTTGAACGAAAGTGAAATAAAGTACGAAAATGCGAATCTCATCATGACATTGTCAGTATGAAAGAACGAACGAACGAAACCAAATTGCAAATTGGCAAAACAAAACAAAAAACGCTGTAGTTGGTTTTTCAATCCGAACGCAACACTTGATTCAATAGGATTCGCCTGAACTATCGATCGCTGATTTTTTGTTGCTGTATTGTCTTGTTTTGCGGTTTGTCAATCTCTGTCTGCGTCCATTCAACTGCTCAGCTGTTTTTGGACACCAGCAGAAACAACAACAACAACAACAACAAATGCAAGAAGAGAAACACCGAAACAAGAGCCGTTGATTCAATAGATAGGTATGTCGCTACTCTGTGTGTTGACCTAATCCGAGCATGCGAGTTGTTGTGGGCTGGTCTATGCTGCCGCTGGTTGGTAACCAAAGATGAATGGGGGAGGACGCAGTGGGTGTCTGAAGATGGAAATAAAACAAAACAAAAAACCTACATGGATTTGGACAAATGGGCACACTTTTTTATGTAACAGCTTTGATCTCACAAACGACGCACTTTTTTTAGTAATGGGCCGGGAAGGCGTTCGACACAGGAGTAAATCACTTAGGAGCTTTGGTCGGTTAGAGGAAATTATTATGGGGACAACCTCAAGTGATCTACATTTATTACCGCCCTCCTTTATTGTGTCACGCATTTTTCCATACTTATACGCCATTTAATTGAAGCTAAGCGATGGATGCAACCTCTGGTGGTGAATAAGAGAACGTCAAAAATAGTGTGTGATAAATTAATTCATAGGATATGCTCCAAAACTTGACCTACAGTTGAAAAATTTAATTCTATATTTTTTTTTCAAGGATCCTGCTAGTGTTCAGGATAAATATTGTTGAGAAAAAAAGAAAATTATAATAGTACCTTAGCGGCTATGATCTACCGAATGTCTTGTGTGTGAATAGTTTAGGTGCAAATCACTTCAGATACAGTCAGGAATCCTTATTGCCGGGCTATCCGTGAATAAGGATACCCACAGCACAGACAAACAGATGTAACACTCACAATCACATTCATCGTAAATAATGTTTTAGTTGGGAATGTGCTTGCATTTGTCATGTTGGCGCCACTGAAGCATTGAGCAAGCCACCACATTTCGAACTTATCAGTGATGCCAGTTCTTTTTCACGTCTAGTTAGTAGATGTCAGTTCTTCAAAATGATAAGTGGTCAAGGCATGCCACTGGAGACACATACCACATCTGACGAACACAAAAAAAAAGTAGTTGAATATTACATCAAAACTGCTGCACATTAGTCATTCCGTTCCTAATATTACGTTGTACGATGTACACAGAGTTCGAGAACAAATCATGTTGATCACTGTAATATTCTTTGAACTTTTACCAGTTATTGATGTTCAATACTTCACCATAAATATCATTGATTGATACATATTACATTGATACATCTATATTTAGAAAGGACACGCATTACCTCGTTTAAAAACTTATTTCCAGCAAAAGAAAAAGCACAATAAACAAACAAAACAAATCCCTACCAAAAAAGTCTTAGCTTCTGTGAATTTTCCCTACGGATCCGTATTTCTGCAGAATTCAATCAATTCTATAGATCTACGGAAAATTTCGTAGAACCGACATCACTGACTTCCATCTGTTTTGTTTTTATTCAACACAGCTGACGCGTTGACAAAACAAGGAAAAGCAACTAGTGAAAAAATTGCATGAACGAGGGATGCTTCGGTTGCAGAACAATGCTACTGCGCATGCAAAATACGCCTGACGATATTTTTTGAAGAATTTTCTTCGAAGAGTTATGTCTGTTTGTCTGTGCCCACAACTTATGGGATTTTCACGGTTGCTACTCTGTTATTGCCAGATCAGCTGAAATTTCACAGAGAACCAATAGACGATGCTTAGGACTATCAATCATCCTCAATGTTTAAATACTGGTGATCTGAAGCTAGGCAATACCAGCGCCGGCCGTGCCCGAACACAGGTCAAGAAAGGAATGAGTAGGAATGTGTTGACGTGACACTCGCTTTGATGGAAGCCGAGAACACCTCTGCACTTCTACGAGGAATCGCTGGGATTTTGGATAAGAGAGTTGGGTTTGCAGCTGGGTTCGCGTTGGTAAACGATAAACTGAATGGATGTGTTCAGAGGCGTTGCTTGCCGGGGGCGGGGAGGGTGGTCTGTCCACCCCAGATGCCACCCTTAGAGGAGTGACACCCAAGAGAATAATTAATACCATATATCTGATCATATACATATCCGTAAAACAACAGTTTCAAAAAGTTGCGGGTCAACTCATATATAAATTTTGAGTACATTTGGTGAAGAGTGTAATCAACTACAGTTTGCTACACCCCTACTAAATGGTGGACGAAGCAAAGCCACAAGCAGTGCCCGAACGAAACATTACCCCACCCATGTTATGTACAACCGACACCGCATCACTATAGACAGGCAAGTTATAGCCCGGTCAACGTAAGTTGACGTATCCAACAAACCGTCAAATCGTATGGAAAATGTTCGTTTTGGATACAACATGGCAAACTGAAAACTTGCTATTAGCGTCTGATTTAGAACAGAAAACGTTTGCTAATAAACTAACGACTTTCTACGACGAAGTGTCCGAAAGCGAACTGTTGCTGGAGATCCCAAGGTTTCGGAGACATCTGAAAGCAGCAGAAATAAGTATGGATGATGTCAAACCATGGAGTGCACTGGATGTGCTACAGTTCATCGTCAAATGGGACTTCCACGAAACACTTCCAAATTTCACGGTTGGTTTGAAGTTGTTTCTACCCGTTTGTATTTCCGTGGCATCCTGTGAGCGAAGCTTTTCCAAGTTAAAGTTGATAAAAAATTATTTACGAACAACTATGGCACAATCGCGCTTAACCGGGTTGGCTTTGTTGTCTATTGAATGCGAATACGCTAAATCCACTGACTTTGACGAAGTGATAAGAAAATTTGCTGCAGTTAAGTCAAGACGTGTCAAGATTTGCTGATTTCTTGTATTTTATTCTAATAAATGATGTTTTTGGCTTGGTAAACTACACAGCTAAAAAAAAGTAGTGTAAATTTCCGTTACTATGATGCACATAAATGGAGCGTCATAAATCATACAAATTTACATTATAAATCATGTAAATTTATGAGACATGTCATGCAATATTCCATATGTTGTATGCAACCTTCCACCTTTGTTTGCAACATTTCTTGCAAGCTGCTAGTTTACGTGAAAAGGAAGTTTACATGCATGAATGTTTGCATGCATGGATGTTTACATCACCAGTAAAATTCAGATTTTTTTAGTGTGTAGATGTTTTATTTATGTTTTATTAAGGAAATAGTAATTTATGGTAAGTACTCATGTGCATATAAAACATGGGGTGACACCCAAAAAATCCGCCCGGGTGTCACCAGGGCAGGCTACGCCATGGATGTCTTAACGATCATATAACGCGAAGGAGCTTGGGATTGAACCCACGATCTTCTGCTCAGTAAGCAAAACAGTTTACCACTAGACAAACGAGCTCCATTTAAATCATCGAGTTGCTATTATTACCATATAGTCATATAAACAAATAAAGCGATTGTCGAATCTTGAATGTGGATGGACCTGAGGTTAGACTCATGATGATCTGCTCAGTAAGCAAAAACGATCGCTCTAAGGCCACGGAGGACCTCATATCGCAACATTTCTTAACTCGAGTTGTTGTAACCATTCAAACCCGGCACCGACGTTGAAAAGTTTCGCAACATACACGATAACCACGTGATTTGACCAAAATTTTCTTGTAAATAAAAGGACCTCCGAAAACTAAAAGCTACGAATAAGCACTTAGGCCTTCATTGAGTTCTACTTTCACGCGACGTTCAATTTTTCGAATTTCTCTTTACGCAGGTTATCGTGCTTCTTATATCATAATAAGCTACGACCGACGTAACGATTGTTAAGGCCCTGATTAAACAAGATATTAGAATGATATTACGTTCTCGAGCGCAGTCAATAATGTATCCTAAACTGGATCAAGCGTGCACTATATTTTTCTAATTATTCCGAAGCGTTCCGCCCAAGATCTTTTTTTTCCTTTGGTTTGTTTTTTCCGTTGATCTTGTTTTCCGTGCTGAGCACCAATGCTACCGACGTGCCAGGAAGGCAGCTCCCACACCTGGACCCTACCTATCGACCCATCAACTCATGAACCGGGGACCAACGGCTTTACTTCCCATCCGAAGGAAGGCGTGATCAGAGATGTTACGCCCAAGATCTAACAGGTACAATTTTCTACAATAGCGGGCTGGAATAAATCGTAATGTATTTTCCCCAAAAGACTCAAATATTTTCTTGCACTTGGATGCATACCTTACCTACAGTATCGCTTTTCTTAAGTTATATCTAAAACCGCAACATAGATCACGCGCGATCGAGGTCATACTACCAGGAAACAAACGGATTGTTTTGACGTAGGACTACGTCTGTGATTTCTATATGGAGGTACACTTTGTGAAAACCGAAAAGAGAACACGTAACAAAATTATGAAAGATTTTGAACGTTAATAACTCAGCTGCCGCTGGACTAATTTCAATAATTTTATCGCCAATCGATCAGAAATATTTCAACGCATCTGCTAAATTTAAGACTTTATCATTT